AGTAGTAGTAGTAGTAGTGACAGTAGTAGTAGTAGTAGTAGTAGTAGTAGTAGCAGTAGTAGCAGTAGTACCTAGTAGTCGTAGTTGAGTCGTAGTAGTAGTCTTCGTCGTCACGTCTTCGTCCTGGAGAATGATCCGCGCCATCCTGCCCTGTCTCCATTCTACAAGTATATACAAGAAATATAATATATATATATAAATATATACAACAAATATAATATATATATACAAATATATACAAATATAATATATATATAATATATACAAATATAATCAATAAGTACTATATACAAATATAACGTCTATAACACCAAACCCATCCTGCCCTGTCTCCATTCTGTGTGTATATAACATATATACACAACAACATGTATAAATATAATAATATCATAATTAAAAGAAGAATATATAATCATATATATATTTTTTTTTTATTATAACCATTTAGATCTTTTACTCTTTGTTATTATTTTGTGATTTGTGAAAGTCTAACCCCACCACCAGCGCTTCAATCAGAAAACCAGGACTAAACAAAGACTAAACCAGGACTAAACAAAGACTAAACCAGGACTAAACAAAGACTAAACCAGGACTAAACAAAGACTAAACCAGGACTAAACCAGGGACTAAACCAGGCCTAAACCAGGTCCAAATCAGGTCTAAACGACGGATTAAACCAGGCACTAAAACAGGGACTAAAACTGGACTAAAGTAGGCCTAAACCTGGCGTAAACCAAGACCTAAACAAACACTAAACCAGGGACTAGAACAGGACTAAAACCAGGGATTAAAGCAGGTCTAAACCAGGTCTAAACCAGGTCTCGTCCAGGTCTAGTCCAGGTCTAGTCCAGGTCTTACCCAGGTCCATGTCGGCCGCCTTGGGTCTTTGGGAGTAGGGAGTTCCTTTGTAAAGTGCGTCCAGGATTTTCTCTTTGACCTGAGTCACGGTGTCACAGTTTAACGTCTTGACCAGAACCTCCGGGGCGTTCTCGTTCTCCGGGTTCACACAGTGCAGCGTCTGCGGGGACACGGGGGAAGACGTCAGATGCCCTCCCGTACTCCCGCGTTCGAATGTTCCGCAGTGTGTCTTTAAATGCACCAGGTAAGAATGTAACGATAACCGAAATATCGTGGTATCGTATCGTCAAAAGTCTCGCAATAATATCGAAATATAAATCTGTTTGCTTAAATGAATAACTACGGTGCAGCAAGAGCTCGGTTGTGTGTGTGTAAATGTTCCGCAGTGGGGCTTTACCAGAGTCTTGTAGTCGATCTGCTGCCTGATGAGTTTGTCTTCGCTGAGCGAGTACCGCGCCTCACCAGTGATGGCGTCGATGGGCCCTTTCTCCATCTGCTGCTTCATGGCACAATACAACATGAAGAGAGGCTCCCCCGCACACTCCTGCACAAAATATATACACAAAATACTCTTATATACACAAAATACTCTTATATATGCACAAAATACTGATATATACACAAAATACTGTTATATATCACAATACAACATGAAGAGAGGCTCCCCCGCACACTCCTGTACAAAATATATATATACAAAAATATACAAAATACTGATATATACACAAAATACTGATATATATACACAAAATACTGTTATATATCACAATACAACATGAAGAGAGGCTCCCCCGCACACTCCTGCACAAAATATATACACAAAATACTGTTATATATACACAAAATACTGATATATATACACAAAATACTGATATATATATACACAAAATACTGTTTATATATACACAAAATACTGATATATATACACAAAATACTGATATATATACACAAAATACTGATATATATGTGGGCCCGGTCAAGTAGAAGTAAACAACAAGGCCAAAAATTCAAGTTAATTCATCTGATATAAAAATGTATTGAACAGATACATATGTCTCTAGTTTATCAAAACTGTTGACCTTTTTTCTGACCATTTTTTGGTTCTAAAGTTCCATTCGTTTTAAACAGACCATGTAATGAAACATGGAACAAAAATTATTTCCCAAATTTCAAAGACCTGAAAATCATGTAAATAAATGTTTGTATTTCATCATATCTTGTGTTATTCCATCTTTGAACTGTTGATGAAGGGACAGGATTTTTTTTAAAAAAGTATTTAAAAATGAAAAATTTGCTTGGAAGGACTGACATATTTTATAGAAATAGTTTCCTTTCATTTTGAAGTAATATTAAAGTTTTCAGAAGAAAAAAGTGACAAATGATGTAAAATCCTGCACCTTCTACTTGTTTGAACAATTTTCCCTCTGTTACTTTTCCCTCCGTTACCATGAACTTTCTTAATAAAAAATCTCATGAGTCAAAAAGTAAGAGGTTTTTCAACCTAATCTTGTACCATATGGTAGAAAACTATATGAAGCAAATATTCAAACCAGTTTGTTAAGGATATGTAAGTGAGAACCAAGAGTTATCACTGTTTGGATTTATTGACCAAAAAGTGCTGCATATTTCATTCCCTCCGTTACCGACATGAGTTTTTAAATTTTTTGTCTTGAACTTGAAAGAATCTCACAGGTTTAACTTGACCCTGTTGGGGTGTAACTCTTTCCTACATTCTGATACTTTACTTATTTCAATAGTTCCTCTAGTTTCTGAATAAGACACATTTGAATGTCAAAAATCTGCCCGTTTCCCTCCGTTAACACTTGACTGGACCTAAATACACAAAATACTGTTATAAAAGTGAAACTAAATGTTCTATTTACTCGGCTGCTTCATAAAACAGTTTAGATGTAATTTCATGCACGTTTGAGTAATCTAGAGATCTCTCCAGGGCCCTATTCAAACCCTCCTCACGGTGAGCAGTACGAGCCTGTGCGAGGCTCCGCCCACCAGCCTCCGTCCCCCACGCCCCTACAACACACGCCTGCAGTAGTTTCTTTAGCGGGACGCTCTGAAGGGGGAGCGACTTAGCGTAAAGAGCAAAGCAGATAAACTCGTACTAAATGGGCAGATAATTTGGATCGAAATGTAGAAATGGTCAAAATAGAAACATTTGTGCAGCAGATTTCAGATTTTTTACCTTGAGGAACTTGTAGAGGAGGAAGGTGAACCAGTTTGTCAACATCTTCTCGGCCACAGACTCAGTCCTGAAGGAAAATAATAACAAAACATAAAGTACTTTTACTTCACTAGATATTTGTAGAAATCAAAAAAATAAGAAAACGAAAAAACAACAACTATTTTCTTCATTATTTGTCTCCAAATTAAAATGAAAAAACAGATAACGATTCGTTTTCTCGCCAGTGATCTTTTATCCTTGTACTTTTACTTAAGTAACAAAGTGCAGTACTTCCTCCACCCCTGTACTTGTGTACTGTGGTTCTGACCTTCGCAGCAGGAGTTTGGGGGGTTCTGACCTTCGCAGCAGGAGTTTGGGGGGTTCTGACCTTCGCAGCAGGAGTTTGGGAGGTTCTGACCTTCGCAGCAGGAGTTTTGAGGGGTTCTGACCTTCGCAGCAGGAGTTTGGGGGGTTCTGACCTTCGCAGCAGGAGTTTGGGGGAGGTTCTGACCTTCGCAGCAGGAGTTTGGGGGAGGTTCTTACCTTCGCAGCAGGAGTTTGGGGAGGTTCTTACCTTCGCAGCAGGAGTTTGGGGTGGTTCTTGCTCTCCAGGTTCTTGTCGATGAGGTCGGAGAGCAGCTGTTTGAGGACCCCGGTGGCGTACTCCATCTCCCCCTGCAGAGCCGTCATGATCAGAGACGCCACGTTCCCCCGGTCCCTCATCGAAAACGACCTCTGACCCTCCAGGGTGCGGATGAACGTCAACAGGAAGTGCTTCTTGGTCAAGAGCTGCCCGAACAGGGTCAGGGACTTCTCCACGTTAGCGGGAACCTACAGGGGGCGCAAGAGAGACCCGGTTTAGTCCTGGTTTAGTTCTGGTTCAGTCCTGGTTCAGTTCTGGTCTGGTTTTACCTCCATCTCCTTGAGCACGGGATGGTCTTCGATCCCGGGGAACAGGACTCTCATGGCGTACGTGCGATAATCCAGGAAGGGGATCCCAGCTCCGTCCAACTCCTGAGCGAGTTCATGGATATCGGTCTGTAACTCCGCGAACGCTGGAGACACGGACGAAGAGAGAAGAAGAGCAGAGAGCAGGTTTAGCATCGTGAAGGATCAGATCTGGACTCACACCTAAAAGTGAAGCTTTTTCTCCAGCGGGGGACAAATCAGGTTCTTTCAGGTTCAACTGAAAACGATTTACCATAAACTAAAACATAACCAGTTTTTCACAGAGTCGACGTGGACGAGCGTCTGGGGAGTCCTGAGTTTGTGCGGCGCGTTTTCAGGCGTCACGCGTCCAGAGCGCCGATGTCAGAAGTCGAAAAAGCTGAAGTTTTGGCGTCGGACACGACGCACCGACCAATCAGGGACGACTGTCCACCAGAACAAGAAACTCTACAGCGTCATTAACGAGTCATTACGGAGGATAAATATAAACACACCACAGCCGCCGAACTCTCCTCTCCTACATTTGTAAAAACAGGTCTTAGAATCACCTGAAGAACTTTAGAGGTTAAACCTGGACTAAACCTGGACTAAACCTGGACTAAACCTGAGACTAAACCTGGACTAAACCTGGACTAAAGACTTGGACTAAACCTGAGACTAAAGATGGACTAAACTGGACTAAACCTGTACTAAAGATGAACTAAACCTGGACTAAACCTGGACTAAACCTGAGACTAAACTTGGACTAAACCTGAGACTAAAGATGGACTAAATCTGGACTAAATCTGGACTAAACCTGGACTAAACCTGGACTAAAGTTGAGACTAAACCTGAGACTAAATCTGGATTAAACCTGGACTAAACTTGGACTAAAGCTGGACTAAAGATGGACTAAACTTGGACTAAACCTGGACTAAACCTGTACTAAAGATGAACTAAATCTGGACTAAACCTGGACTAAATCTGGCCTAAACCTAGACTAAATCTGGACTAAACCTTGACTAAATCTGGCCTAAACCTGGACTAAATCTGGACTAAAGATGGACTAAAAATGGACTAAATATGGACTAAAATGGACTAAAGCTGGACTAAAGATGGACTAAAGCTGGAGTAAACCTGGACTAAACCTGGACTAAACCTGAACTAAAGCTGGACTAAATCTGGACTAAAGATGGAGTAAATCTGGACTAAACGTAGAACCTGATCTCTGGTTTCGTGCGTTTGTAAAAATGGCTCATTAGGCTCGTCTGAAGACGTTTGGCGGCCGGTTTCTGCAGCTGGACTCTTCACACGTCCGCTTCATCTTCTCCGTGAGGATTTAAAAACACCGCAGACACTTTCACACAGACTCCAGAGTTTGTTTACACGTCCTGACCCTCGTCTTAACCCTCCAGATGTGCTCCTCCTCCTCTCTTCTTCTTCTTCTTCTTCTTCTCTTGATTACAGATCTTAAACACAATCACTTCCTGAATCATTTGTAGTTTTGTAAACAAGACAAACATCTGCTCCGCTCGGGCGCAATCACACGTCTCCTCATTAACCCCGAGGAACCCGAGAGGAACCGCCAAGAACCGTCTGAACGCCGAGATAATCAGGAGAAGTTTCATCTGAAATAATCACGACGGGAAAAAAAATCACTCTGAAAATAAATAAAAGTCCTGATCCTCGAGTTTCATTAAAGAACTAAAAGAGTCCGATTTAAAACTCGACTCTTCTGATAAAAAAACACGTTTAACACAAAAAACCTGCAGAACCTGGACTAAACCTGGACTAAAACTGGACTAAAACTGGACTAAAACTGGACTAAACGTGGAAAAAACTGAAACCGGACTAAACGTGGACTTTAACCTGGACTAAAACTGGACTAAACCTGGAAACTGGACTAAACCTGGACTAAACCTGGACTAAACTGGACTAAACCTGGACTAAAGGACTAAAACTGGACTAAAACTGGACTTAACGTGGACTTAACCTGGACTTAACAGGACTAAAGGTGACTAAACGTGGACTAAACTTGGACTAAACCTGGACTAAACTGACTAAAACTGGACTTAAACCTGGACTAAACTGGACTAAACGTGGACTAAAGCTGGACTAAAACTGGACTAAACCTGGACTAAACTAAAACTGGACTAAAGATGGACTAAACTAAAACTGGACTAAACCTGGACTAAAACTGGACTAAACCTGGACTGGACTAAAACTGGACTAAACTGGACTAAACTGGACTAAACCTGACTAAAACTGGACTAAACTGGACTAAACTTGGACTAAATGGACTAACCTGGACTAAACCTGACTAAACCTGGATTAAACTGGACTAAACGTGGACTAAACCTGGACTAAACCTGGACTTAACCAGGACCAAACCTGGACTAAACCTGGACTAAAACTGGACTAAACGTGGACTAAACCTGACCTGAATCTGGACTGACTGAGTTCTTCTCTCAAACTGAAAACGCTCTGTTCCACCTCGTGATGTCATCATGTGGTGATAACACAGGAAGTGCTCCACTGTGTTTTTAAACTCCGCACACACTTCACTAGAATCATCTGCATCGTTTTTTTTTTTTGTTTTTTTCAGTCCTGGAGTCGCTCGATCTCGGCTGAACTAAAGAGAAAAAAGGAGCTTCTCACTCGATGACATCACGAGGTGGAACAGAGCGTTGGTCCAGCTCTGTTTTTCACTTTAGAACTTTAGAAAAGGACTTAGAGCTCAGAGTCGAGTTTGTGATGCTGGAGATTAAAAAGAGGTGAGAACATCTGGAGGGAGAGGAGGGAGAGAGAGGAGAGGGGGATGACGAGAGGGAGGAGAGGAGAGAGGAGGAGGAGATGGAGGGAGAGAGAGAGGGGGAGAGAGGGGAGGGAGAGGGATGGAGGAGGAGAGAGGGGATGGAGAGAGAGGAGGAGGGAGGAGGAGAGAGAGATGGAGGGATGGAGGGAGGAGGAGAGGGGGAGAGGGGGAGGAGGAGGAGAGAAGGAGAGGAGGGAGGATGGAGAGAGAGAGAGGAGAGGGGATGGAGGAGGAGGAGGGGGGATGAGGGGGATGGAGGGATGAGGAGGAGGAGGAGAGAGGGGGAGGAGGGGATGGAGGGAGGAGGAGAGAGAGGGATGGAGAGGAGAGAGAGGATGAGGAGGGATGGAGGGATGGAGAGGAGAGAGAGGAGAGGGAGAGGAGAGGGGATGGAGGAGAGGAGGGATGGAGGGAGGAGGAGGGAGAGGAGGGATGGAGAGGGAGAGGGAGGAGGGAGAGAGGGATGAGGGATGGAGAGGAGGGATGGAGAGAGAGGAGAGAGGAGAGGGGGATGGAGGGATGGAGGAGGAGAGGGTCTCGGGGGGGTGAACATCTGGGGAGGGCATCTGAACATCTGGAGACTCTGATCAAAGACTCAGATCTGAGAAAAAGAAGACGGAACGAAAGAAACGACAGAGAGAGAGAGAAAGAGAGAGAGAGAGAGAGAGAGAGAGAGAAGAGGCGAAAGGAAAGGGGGAGGTGGAGACGGATAAAGAAAAGGAGAGAGAGGAAAAGAGAAGAAAAAGTGGCACTCTATCCTTGGGCACAGTCCAGATGCCCTCCTCTCTCTCTCTCTCCCTCTCTCTTTTCCTCCTCTCTCTTGCCCTCTCTCTCTCCTCCTCTCTTATCTCGCTCTCTTCTCTCCTCTCTCCCTCCCTCCCTCGTTCTCTTTCTCTCTTTCTCTTTCTTTCTCTTTCGTTCGTACCTTCTTTGCACTCGAAGTTGTCCATCTGGAGTCTCTCTCTTCTCTCTTTTCTCTCTCTCTTTTCTTTCTCTCTGTTCTTTCTCTTTCTCTCTGTTCTCTCTTTCGTTCTTTCTCTTTTCTTTTCGTACCTTCTTTACACTCAAGGGCGACCCGGGACTCGAGGTTGTCCATCTGCAGCTGGAGTCTCTCTCTCTGTTTCTTTCTCTCTGTTCTTTCTCTCTTTTCGTTCTTTCTCTCTTTTCTTTTTCTTTCCGTACCTTCTTTACACTCGAGGGCGACCCGGGACTCGAGGTTGTCCATCTGCAGCTGGAGTCTCTTGAGCGTGCGGTCTCTCTCTCTCTCTCTGTTCTTTCTCTCTCTCTCTCTGTCTCTCTCTGTTTCTTTCTCTCTGTCTCTTTCTCTCTCTCTCTGTTTCTCTCTGTTCTCTCTATCTTTTCTCTCGTTCTTTTTCTTTCCGTACCTTCTTTACACTCGAGGGCGACCCGGGACTCGAGGTTGTCCATCTGCAGCTGGAGTCTCTTGAGCGTGCGGTCTCTCTCTCTCTCTCTGTTCTTTCTCTCTCTCTCTCTGTCTCTCTCTGTTTCTTTCTCTCTGTCTCTTTCTCTCTCTCTGTTCTCTCTGTTCTCTCTATCTGTTCTCTCGTTCTTTTTCTTTCCGTACCTTCTTTACACTCGAGGGCGACCCGGGACTCGAGGTTGTCCATCTGCAGCTGGAGTCTCTTGAGCGTGCGGTCTCTCTCTCTCTCTCTGTTCTTTCTCTCTCTCTCTCTGTCTCTCTCTGTTTCTTTCTCTCTGTCTCTTTCTCTCTCTCTGTTCTCTCTGTTCTCTCTATCTGTTCTCTCGTTCTTTTTCTTTTCGTACCTCTTTACACTCGAGGGCGACCCGGGACTCGAGGTTGTCCATCTGCAGCTGGAGTCTCTTGAGCGTGCGGTCTCTCTCTCTCTCTCTGTTCTTTCTCTCTCTCTCTCTGTCTCTCTCTGTTTCTTTCTCTCTGTCTCTTTCTCTCTCTCTGTTCTCTCTGTTCTCTCTATCTGTTCTCTCGTTCTTTTTCTTTCCGTACCTTCTTTACACTCGAGGGCGACCGGGACTCGAGGTTGTCCATCTGCAGCTGGAGTCTCTTGAGCGTGCGGTCTCTCTCTCTCTCTCTGTTCTTCTTCTCTCTCTCTCTCTGTCTCTCTCTGTTTCTTTCTCTCTGTCTCTTTCTCTCTCTCTGTTCTCTCTGTTCTCTCTATCTGTTCTCTCGTTCTTTTTCTTTCCGTACCTTCTTTACACTCGAGGGCGACCCGCGACTCGAGGTTGTCCATCTGCAGCTGGAGTCTCTCTCTCTGTCTCTGTCTCTCTTTCGTTCTTTCTCTCTGTTCTTTCGTTCTTTCTCTCTTTTCTTTCCGTACCTTCTTTACACTCGAGGGCGACCCGCGACTCGAGGTTGTCCATCTGCAGCTGGAGTCTCTCTCTCTGTCTCTGTCTCTCTTTCGTTCTTTCTCTCTGTTCTTTCGTTCTTTCTTTTCTCTTTTCTTTCCGTACCTTCTTTACACTCGAGGGCGACCCGGGACTCGAGGTTGTCCATCTGCAGCTGGAGTCTCTCTCTCTGTTCTCTCTGTTCTTTCTCTCTGTCTCTCTGTTCGTTCTTTCTCTCTTTTCTTTTCTTTTCGTACCTTCTTTACACTCGAGGGCGACCCGCGGACTCGAGGTTGTCCATCTGCAGCTGGAGTCTCTTGAGCGTGCGGTCGGCGTCGCGGGACTTTCGTTTGTAGGCGATGAGGACGAGGACGATGACGAGGAGCAGGAGGCCGCCGCCGCCGCCGATCCCCACGATGGCGGGAAGAGTCAAGAGAGAATCTGAGTAAACGACGAGAGAACCGGGCGAGTACACGAAACCCCCCGCACGGATCTGAGAGAGAGAGAGGGGGGGGGGAGAGAGAGAGGGAGAGAGAAAAGAGAGAGAGAGAGAGAGAGAGAGAGAGAGAGAGAGAGAGGAGGGAGGGGGAGAGAGAGAGAGAGATGAGGGAGAGAGAGAGAGGGAGAGAGAGAGAGAGAGAGGAGAGAGAGAGAGAGAGAGAGAGAGAGAGAAGAGGAGAGGAGGTGGAGAGGGGGGAGAGAGAGAGAGAGAGAGACAAGAAGAAGAGGGAAAGAGAGAGAAAGAGAAAGAGAGGAGAGAGAGGAGGGAGAGAGAAAGAGAGAAGAGAGAAAGAGAGGAGAGAGAGAAACAGAAAGGAGAGAGAGAGAGAGGAGGGAGAGAGAAAGAGAAAGAGAGAGAGAGGAGGAAGAGAGAGAGAAGAGAGAGAGAGGAGGGAGCGAAAAAGAGAGGAGAGAGGAGGGAGAGAGAAAGAAAGAGGAGAGAGATAAAGAGAGGAGAGAGAAAAAGAGAAAGAGAGAGGAGAGAGAGAAAGAGAGAGAGGGAGAGGAGTGAGGGGGGAGTGAAAGAGACAGGAGGAGGAGAGGGAGAGAGGAAGAAGAGAGAGGAGAGGAAGAGGGGAGAGAGAGAAGAAAGGGAGATAGAGGGGGAAAGGAGAAGAGGGGAAGAGAAAGGGAGAGAGAGAGAAAAAGGGGGGGATGGAAAGAAGCAGAAGAGGGAGAGAAGAGAGCGAAGGGGCAGAAGAGTAGGAGAGAAGAGATAGGGAGAGAAGAGAGGAGAAAGAGTGAGAGAATGAGGAAGAGAGAGAAGAGAGGCAGAGAGAGAGAGAGAGGAGGATAAAGGAGAAAAAGAGAAGGAGAGAAAAAAGGAGAGATGACAAGAAAGAAAAAGAGAAGGAGGGAGAGAGACACAGGTTAATATTAAGATAAAACAAAAACAACAGAACAATAACCAAACACTCCTCCCTCCCTCCATCCCTCGTTTTTTACATCAGACTCTCCACAAAAGAAAAAAAAGACGTAAATAAAAAAAAATAAAAAAAACGACAGGATTTTTTTCTTTCTTTTTCTTTCTCTCCTCGGCGCCGACACTTCTGATCGAAAACTGTTTTGGTTTATTTTGTTTTATTTGAGTCGGAGAAAAGCTGAAGACAGAAGAGAGGGATGAGTGAGAGGAAAAGAAAGAGGGAGGAAAGAGACGGAGAGAGAGAGAAAAGAAGAGATGAAGAAATGTGTTTCAGGTTTTTATAAATAACGAGTGTAAATGTAGGTCACCTCTCCTCCTCCTCTTTACCCTCATCCCTCGCTCCTCTCCTCTCCTCCTCCTCTTCCTCACACTCATCCCTCGCTCCTCTCCTCCTCCTCTTCACACTCATCCCTCGCTCCTCTCCTCCTCCTCTTTACGCTCATCCCTCACTCCTCTCCTCCTCCTCCGCCTCTTCACACTCATCCCTCACTCCTCTCCTCTTCTCCCTCCGTCCCTCTTTTCTCCTGCCTCAATCCCTCTTTCTTTCTCTCTCCATCCCTCTCTTCCCTCTCTTCTCCTCCTCCCTCCATCCTTCTCTCTTCTCCTCCTCCCTCCATCTCTCTTCTCTCTCCTCCTCCCTCCATCTCTCTTCTCTCTTCTTCTCCTCCCTCCATCCTTCTCTCTTCTCCTCCTCGCTCCATCCTTCTCTCTTCTCCTCCTCCCTCCATCCTTCTCTCTTCTCCTCCTCCCTCCATCCTTCTCTCTTCTCCTCCTCCCTCCATCCCTCTCTCTTCTCTCTTCCCTCTCTTCTCCTCGACAAAAGACGTAAATAAAAACGACTAAAACACTCGTCTTTTTTTTTTTCTCTCGGAGCGTTTGAACAGAACTGGGGCGCGACCAATCAGACGCTCCGAACGGGAACGAGGGAGCGAATGGAGAAAAGAGGAGAGGAGGAGGACGGAGTGAAGGAGAGAGGGAGTGAGTGAAAGAGAGAAAGAGAGAGAGAGAAGTCATTATTTGAAGATTTTGATTTGAAGGTGTGGAACGGAAGAACGGAGGATGAACGGAGGATGAATGACGGGAAGAAAAGCAGACGAGACAGGAGCGAGGGATGACAAAAAATGAAAAAGGAGAGAGAGGAAGAAAGTGAAAGAGATGGAGCGAGGGACGGAGGAAGATAGAGAGAGGGGAGAGGGAGGGAAAAATGAAGAAAGGAAGAGGAGACATTTTGAGATTTGGTTTGAATGGGCGGAACAAAAGGATGAGTGAAAGGCAGAAAAAAAGAAGAGACAGAAGCGAGAGATGAGAGAGAGAGAAAGAAAGAAAGGAGGAGAGAAAGACGGATGGAAAGAGGACGACGCAGGAACCAAACTGTGGTGTAAATTTTGCTTTTTTGTTTTTCTTTTTAAGGGTAAAAAGGAAAAAAAAAACAAAAAACGACAGAGTTAAATCCGTTTCTCTTCACGCTCCAGTTTTAAAGCTGCACTGTGTAACTTTTCTGGTGGAGAGTCAGAGCTGCTCGTCTCCATGGTGATGCCGTTGCGTTGCCTGGGATGTTCCACAGTGCGGCATTAAACAAACGCATCTTGTTTTGATTCATTTAGAGGAGTTTTTTTTAGACGTTATTTATCATTTTGGTTTAGTTTTACTTTCACTCTTGTTTCGGTGTTGTTTGGGTCATGTTTTAGTTTAGTTTTACTCTCGTTTCGGTGTTATTTGGGTGTTGTTTGGTTTAGTTTCACTCTTGTTTGGGTGTTAATTTGGTCATGTTTCGGTGTTGTTTTGGTCATGTTTTGGTTTAATTTAACTCTCGTTTGGGTGTTATTTTGGGTTACTTTCACTCTCGTTTGGGTGTTGTTTTGGTCATGTTCTGGTTGAGTTTTCACTCTTTTGTGTTGTTTTGGTAGTTTCATGTTTGGGTGTGTTTTGTTTGTTTTGTCGTTTTGGTTTAGTTCGTTTGGTGTTGTTTTGGGTTACTTTCACTCTTGTTTGGGTGTTGTTTTGGTCATGTTCTGGTTGAGTTTCACTCTTGTTTGGGTGTTGTTTTGGTTTAGTTTCACTCTCGTTTGGGTGTTGTTTTGGTTTAGTTTCACTCTCGTTTGGGTGTTGTTTGGGTGTTGTTTTGGTCATGTTTTGGGTTACTTTCACTCTCGTTTGGGTGTTGTTTTTTGGGTTACTTTCACTCTCGTTTGGGTGTTGTTTTGGTGACTTACGGTGACTTTGTGCTCTCCCGTCAGGTTGGGCCACTCACACAGCAGTTGACTCTCGGACAGAGTTAAAACACAGGGCGTGTCTCCGATCAGAACCGTGTAGTTCAGTTTGGAGTTTCCAGGAGCCAAAGGGATCAGGTTACGACCCTGAAAACACAACGGCAACACAAACCATAAAAAACGCACAAATATACACACAATATACACAAAATACATACAAAAATATACACAAAATATACACAAAATACACACAATATACACACAATATACACACACATTACACTGGGTCATACAGATCACACACTGGAGGGACGTGTGCAAAATACAACTTAAAACATCCAAATTTCACATTATTATTGTTTAGTAGTAGTTTTAAGTAGTAGTAATAGTAGTCGTAATAGTATTTGCAGTAGTACCTTGAGTATGAGCGGGGAGCTGGGTTTCAGTTCCAGTCGTTGTAGTAGTAGTAGTAGTAGTATTTGTAGTATTTGTAGTACCTTGAGTATGAGCGGGGAGCTGGGCTTTAGTTCCAGTCGTTGTAGTAGTAGTAGTAGTAGTATTAGTAGTATTTGTAGTATTTGTAGTACCTTGAGTATGAGCGGGGAGCTGGGCTTTAGCTCCAGTTGTTGCAGTAGTAGTAGTAGTAGTAGTTGTAGTATTTGTAGTACCTTGAGTATGAGCGGGGAGCTGGGGAGTACTTGAGGCTTTAGCTCCAGTTGTTGCAGTAGTGTAGTAGTAGTAGTAGTAGTATTTGTAGTATTTGTAGTATTTGTAGTACCTTGAGTATGAGCGGGGAGCTGGGCTTTAGCTCCCGTCGTTCCAGTAGTAGTAGTAGTAGTAGTATTTGTAGTATTTGTAGTACCTTGAGTATGAGCGGGGAGCTGGGCTTTAGCTCCAGTCGTAGTAGTAGTAGTAGTATTTGTAGTATTTGTAGTATTTGTAGTACCTTGAGTATGAGCGGGGAGCTGGGCTTTAGCTCCAGTCGTTGTAGTAGTAGTAGTAGTAGTTGTAGTATTTGTAGTATTTGTAGTACCTTGAGTATGAGTGGGGAGCTGGGCTTTAGCTCCAGTCGTTGCAGTAGTAGTAGTAGTAGTAGTATTTGTAGTAGTAGGAGTAGTATTTGTAGTATTTGTAGTACCTTGAGTATGAGCGGGGAGCTGGGCTTTAGCTCCAGTCGTCCCGTGGGGCTCAGAGGTTCGAACACCGGGTCGGGGTGGAAGGTGAAGCTCTGGTTGATGACCAGCAGGGGGAGCACTCGGTCCATGATGAACCCGACCTCGTCCGGACTGGACCCGGACTCGGACACGGTCCTGTCGCCTCCGGCCACAGAGGGCGCCAGACACAACATCACCGTGTTATTCAGCACCGTGCAGTTCTGATGAAGAAGAAGAAGAAAAGAAGAAGAAGAAGAAGAAGAAGAAGGTGAGTCTCGTGGATCTATAATAAACCTGGATAAGGAAGAGGAAGAAGAAGAAGAAGAAGAGGAAGAAGAAGAAGGAGCTCGACTCGACTCCAGAGTGACACGGATCAGGCAGGAGACAAACAACTAAACCAACAAACACAAACATCACCAAATATGACTCTGCCTGATCTGTGTCACTAAACTAAACCAGGACTGAACCAGGACTAAACCAGGACTAAACCAGGACTAAACCAGGACTAAACCAGGACTAAACCAGGAAACCAGGACTAAACCAGGACTAAACCGGACTAACCGGGACTAAACCGGGACTAAACCGGGACTAAACCGGGACTAAACCGGACTAAACCAGACTAAACCAGGACTAAACCGGGACTAAACCAGGACTAAACCAGGAACCTAAACCAGGGACTAAACCAGGACTAAACCAGGGGACTGAACCAGGGGACTAAACCGGGACTGAAACCAGGACTAAACCAGGGACTAAACCAGGACTAAACCAGGGACTGAAACCAGGACTAAACCAGGACTAAACCAGGACTGAACCAGGACTAAACCAGGACTAAACCGGGACTAAACCAGGACTAAACCAGGACTAAACCAGGACTAAACCAGGACTAAAGAACCAGAACCAGGACTAAACCAGGACTAAACCAGGACTAAACCAGGACTAAACCGGGACTGAACCAGGACTAAACCAGATCAGAGCGATGGAGAGAGAGACGGAGGAGTGATGGAGAGAGAGAGAGAGAGGAGAGATGAGAGAGAGAGAGAGAGAGAGAGAGAGAGAGACGGAGGAGTGATGGAGAGAGAGAGAGAGAGAGGGAGGAGTGCAGAGGCTTCGGTTTATTGGTGTTTGACATTTGAAAAGGTTAAACTGTAAAAAGGAAAACATCAGAAAGAAAGAAAAAAACGACAACAAACAAGAAAGAGAGAGAGAGAGAAGGAGAGAGAGAGGAGGACAAAGAGATGGAGGAGGAAGAGAGAGACAGGGGGGGGGAGGAGAAGGATAGAAGGAGGGAGGGGGAGAAAAGAAGGAGGAATGGAGAGAGGAAGAGGGAGAAAGAGAGAGAGAGAAGGATGAAGGAGGAAGAGAGAGAGAGAGAGAGAGATGAAGAGGGAAGAGAGACAGAGAGAGAGAGAGAGGGAGGAAGAGGGAAGGAGAAAGAGGAAGAGAGAAAGAAGGAGAAAGGAGGAGAAGAAGAAAGATGGAAGGAAGAAAGAAAGAGGCGGTGAGTAGTGATAGAGCAAAGAGTGATAGAAAGAGGAGAGAGATGGAAAGAGAAGAGAAGAAGAGGTGCAGAGAGAAAGAGAGAGAAGAAAAGAGGACGGAGAGAAAAAGGAGGAGTAAATACAGTAAAAAAAAAGGTGATAGAGAAGAAAAAGAGAAAGAGGGAGGGAGAAAGGAAAAGAAAATAAGAGAGAGAGAAGAGAGAAAAAAGGAGGAGGGTGAAAGGAGAAGAGAAAAAGAGCGAGACAAAGGAAGGATGCAGCAAAGGATCATGGTCTATGTAGTTCTTTTGTTTACCAAGACGTTTTGGAGGAAAAAAAACACAAATAAAATGAATTTTAAAAATGTAATAAAGAAAAATAAAGAAAGAAATAACAAAAAAATAAATATAAAATAAATAAAAATAAATGAAATAAAATAAAAGAAAAAAATAAATCATAATAAAATAAAATAAATAAATCTGAATCTAAAGTGAAAGGCGTGTGTCGGACTCACGTTCTCAGACTGGGCCGAGCCGAACTTCGCCCTCATCTTCGGCTCTTTGATCGTCGCCAGGTTCGTCCCCGTGACGGTTACCACGGTACCCCCGCTGTAAACAAACAAACAAACACAAAAAAACAGTCAGATGCCCTGCCCCCGCGTGCGTCAGATCGCGTCAGATGCCCCGCCCCCCCGACCTGGCGATGCTCCAGTCCGGCTCGATCTTCAGGACGGTCGGGTCTTCGGTGTAGTTGAACCGGACCTCGGGGTTCCGGAGCTCGGCGGCGTTGATGTCGACCATGACGGGGGTGAGGCCCGGAGCCAGGCCGCCCGGGGTCACGCACACGATCTCCCTCGGACCGCGTCTGTGGAGAGGAGAGCCGTCAGTGAGACTAAAGAGAGAGACCGCGCCAAGAGGTTTCTCCTCAAAGACCCGCGGACGTTTTTATCTGGAGGGATTCTGAGAGACACGAGGGAAAGAGGGAGGAGAGAAGAGATGGAGAAGAGAGGGAGAGGAAAGAGAGAGAGAGAAGAGGGAGAGGTGATAGAAGGGGGAGAGAGAGAGGAGGAAAGAAAGAACGTGAGGGAGAGAGAGAAAGAGAGAGAAGAAGTGGGTTTAGAGGAAGGTTTGGGGATGGAGAGATGAAAAAAGAGGGAGAGTTGGAAAGAAGAGGGAGATGAAGGAGATTTGGACTAAACCTGGACTAAACTTGGACTAAACCTGGACTAAACCTGAGACTAAATTTGGACTAAACTTGGACAAAATTTGGACTAAATTTGGACTAAAACTAAGACTAAATCTGAGACTAAATTTGGACTAAACGTGGATTAAATTTGGACTAAACCTGAGATTAAAACTAAGACTAAACCTGAGACTAAATTTGGACTAAACTTGGACAAAATTTGGACTAAATTTGGACTAAAACTAAGACTAAATCTGAGACAAAATTTGGACTAAACCTGAGATTAAAACTAAGACTAAACCTGAGAGTAAATTTGGACTAAACTTGGACTAAACCTGGACTAAACCTGAGACTAAATTTGGACTAAACTTGGACAAAATTTGGACTAAAACTAAGACTAAATCTGAGACTAAATTTGGACAAACGTGTTGAGTAAAAGAATCGCTCGTGTTGAGTAAAAGAATCGCTCGTGTCGAGTAAAAGAATCGCTCGTGTTGAGTAAAAGAATCGCTCGTGTTGAGTAAAAGAATCGCTCGTGTTGAGTAAAAGAATCGCTCGTGTTGAGTAAAAGAATCGCTCGTGTTGAGTAAAAGAATCGCTCGTGTTGAGTAAAAGAATCGCTCGTGCCTCTGGAAGCTGCAGGGGTGGAGTCCGATCTTGACGTAGACGGCGCTGCCCGAGTTCAGGTGGCTGCCCTCGATGGTGATCCTGGTGCCGCCCGACAGAGGCCCCGACGACGGGTGAACCCGGCTGAAGTACGGAGACTAAACACACACACAAAAAAAATACATCATCAGTTCATAAATAATAAATACATTTGTCGCGCTTAGTTTATTTCTTGTTCAACTTTACAGCTTTGTTGATTTTTGGTCGTATTTTTGGAAGAAAATCAAAAGCACGAGGACAGAGGAAGGACAAAAAACAAAAATATGAAATGAATTCCACAGGAGGAAGGAGAAAGAACGAAGAATAAATCATGAAATCCACAGAAACACGAAGACGAGGAGGAGACTGAAGAAACACACAAGAAATATTTTATGAAACCAAGAAAGTGTAATTAAATCTACAAAGGAAGAAGAGGAAGAAGAGGAGGAAGAAGAGGAGGAGGAGGAGGAGGAAGGGTGAATTATGGAGACAAAAAACATGGGAAAAAAAAAAAAACGTGATAAAATCTATAGGAGGAGGAGACAGAAGAGATTCATTAAACAGAAAAAACGACAGATTCTGTGATTAAAGACGAGTTCAGCGAGTCACAGCCTGATTACAGAACAGACAGAGAGAGAAGAGAGAGGAGAGGAGAGGAGAGAAAGGAGAGTCCTCCTTCCTCTCTCTGCCACCCCGAGCACTTGATGACATCACGAGGTGGGACAGAGTGTTTGGAGCGTGGCAGATGTAAATATAAAGAAACATATAAATAAAGTGAGTGTAAAGTGTTTGTAGTTCTCGTACCACGAAGGTGAAGGCTCTGGAGGACACGGCCTTGTAGTCCGGGTGGTTACAGTCACGAACACAAACCTCCACCTGAGCCTCCTGCACCCGGTACCCGGTCGCATCGTTCAGACGACACACAATCCTACAAAAATACACAAAAATATATATATACACACACACGAGTCTACACCCTGTACCCCGTCGCTTCATGTTAACGCGTTAACTTTGCGTTAACTAATTAAGTAATTAACGCTGAAAATTATTTTAACATCGTTAACACAGTTTTTATTATTTATTTATTTATTTTATTGTAAACATCTGTTTCTCACTGGCTTTTATTTTGAAAAAGTCACCGCGAGCGTTTCTTTAAGTTTGACGTCTTTTCTTTACACTTTTTCACTTTTTTCTGACCACGTGAGATGCAACGTGTCTGAGCCTCCGCGAGCCGCGGCTCCGGCCGTGGGTTCAGCCGCGGCTCCGGCTCTGAGCTGAGCTTGTTTCTTTAGTTCAGTGCTGGAGTCTCTGATTTACCCGGATACAACTGGAAGAAAAATGTGATTGGTCCATTTCCATTCCATTATATTAACCCTTTGTTTCCTAAGAAATATCAGTCCAAGTTTATAACACTGATCTAGAAATTATTACTAGTGTCGTGTTTATTACTCACAGCATAAAAAATATTCAATAAAAATATATCAGTAGTACAAATGTCTATTCAATATTTTTTCTTGAGCCTTCACTGAAAACCTCGAAGACTCTGAGGTTCAACTGTGAAAGAAATGTTCTGTTTGCACAACAAATGTTTGGCTCTTTCATTTATATTTCCAATAAAAGTGCAGCGATACCAGGGGTGGGAAAACTACGGCCCGGGGGCCGTGTGCGGCCCTTTAAACCTTTTAATCCGGCCGCCGAACTGGAATAAATGACAATAATAAACCATGTTGATGTTTTATTTGTCATGCATTTCCAGCGTTTCCCAGTAGATGGCGACACTATATATACATTGAGATGTGGCGTATTATGTTGGCTGCAATGCTTTATGGGAAAGTGTTCTTACAGGAGTTATTGGGACCATGAGTGAAGTAGTTGGTGTTAAGATATAAGATGCACTGCTTCCAGTTTGAGCTGGTAAAAAATGTATTAAAAAAACCTCTGGACTGTGAGTTGTATTTGTTAATGTCACAACAGTTTGGAGGCAGGTTTTCTCACACTCACAGGTGTTTATCTGTGGTTGTTTGACGTGAGTTTTGTTTTTGAGCTGTTGTCATATTCAAAACCGGTGAACTCATGATGAACATTCACTCATGTTGTGCAGTGGAACAAACACGTCTCAACAGTTTTATGTTCTGAATCTTTCACAGTGATGAAATGTGCAGCGTCTGAAGTCCTGGATAAATGTGAATAAGAACATAATGAATCTGATCTTAACACGTTATGTCTGTCTTCTGTCCGGCCCTTCAGTCAAACTTTAGGACCCTATGTGGCCCGCGAGCCAGAAGGTTTGCCCACCCCTGAGCTATACTCTACTTTTTAATTCATTAATTGGTTTTGCATATAACATGTGATTAATCGCAATTAATCACGATTAATCACTCGAACTCATGCGATTAATCACGATTACATTTTTAAAATTTTTGCCCAACCCTAATATACACACACGATTCTACACACAAAACACACAAATATATATATATATATATACACACACACGATTCTACACACAAAACACACACATATATATATTATATATATATTATATATATTATGTATGCATATATACACAAAACAAAAAATACACACACACATTTATATATAACATATATACACACACAAACACACAAATATATAGGGGTGTGGGTGGGAGGGCATCTGACTCACTGCTCGGCGCTGATGTACTGATCTTCTTGGGGTTGACACGTCACTTTTCCGATCCTCACTCCGTTCTGAATGTCCCGAAACTGAAGCCCCAGATTCTCCCCAGAGATGGTGAGCATAGTCCCCCCCTGACGAGGACCAGTGTCCGGGGACAACTGATGAGAGAGAGAAACGGGGGGAAGAGAGAGAGAGAGGAGAGAGAGAGAGAGAAACGGGGGGAAGAGAGAGAGAGAAAGAGGAGAACACATTACAGTTAATATGAAGGATCAGACTCGATACTTGATCCTGATTCTGAGCCCAGGATGAAAATAAAACTGTTTTAGACAAAATCCTGTGATTTTCCACATTAAACAGAAGAACTCTCCTTTCTTTCCCCGTGAGTCTTTATGTTTGTGTTCGTCTGTAAACACAGACGTGTTCTGAGTGAATCTGACGTCACCATGGTGACCAGCTCCAGTCAAATGAAGCTCATCGAGGAGGAGTTTACAGGAGAGAATCTGGAGCCAGATCCAAGTCAAGAACAGGATTTTATTAAACAAACAAAAAGCAGGAAAAACCCAGAACCTCTAACCTCCATCTCTCCAGTCCATTTAAACCAGGACTAAACCAGGACTAAACCAGGACTAAACCAGGACTAAACCAGGACTAAACCAGGACTAAACCAGGTCTAAACCAGGTCTAAACCAGGACTAAACCAGGACTAAACCGGGTCTAAACCGGGACTACACCAGGACTACACCAGGACTACACCAGGACTACACCAGGACTACACCAGGACTACACCGGGTCTAAACCAGGTCTAAACCAGGACTAAACCAGGACTAAACTGGGTCTGTCCTTTTTCCAGATCTTTTTCTTAACAGCCTAAATTCCCAGATTCATCATCATAAATTTCTCCAAATCGAATTTATCTGACAGAAACAAACGTCCGTCGCTCCGTTAGCCGTAGCCTCGTTAGCCGTAGCCTCGTTAGCGTCGTGAAAAACGAGGCTCACGTGACCCACTCAACCCGGCGACCGTCTGTTTAACAAGAGCAATCAGACCAACCGCGACCTCTGACCCCCGGCACCGAGGGAGGAGGGGGAGGAGCCAAACCGTCCGCCGCTCCGCTCGTCCGTCACCGCCAACGCTAACGAGGCTAACGCTAAAGGAGGAGGAATTATCGACGACAGAAAAACAGAATTTGTGGTTTTGTGGTTTAAAAATGCACGACGGAGTATAAGGTATACAGATAAAAAATAATATATATATATATATATATATATATACACACACACATATATATACACACATATATACACATACATGCTGGCGCTACGAGAATAAAGTCATAACATTTCGACATTAAAGTCGTAATATTACGAGAATAAAGTCGTAATAAAATCAAAGTCAAAGTGAAAAATGCGGCAGAAGAAGAAACTTGTTTTTCAATATAAAACCAAAAATAAGAAAATTAAAAAACAACAATTTTCTTCATTATTTGTGCCTCCGGACTAAACCAGGACTAAACCAGGACTAAACCAGGTCCAGGACCAGACCAGGACTGAGACCAGGACTGAGACCGGGACCAGACCAAGACTGAAAATGGTTTAGTCCTGGTTTAGTCCTGGTTTAGTCCTGGTTTAGTCCTGGTTTAGTCCTGGTTTAGTCCTGGTTTAGTCCTGGTTCAGTCATCGCATTTTAAAGTCACAGAAACACCATTTCCGTGACTTAAACCAGGACTAAACCAGGACTCAACCATTTTCAGTCCTGGTCTGGTCCCGGTCTCAGTCCTGGTCTTTCTGGTTTGGTTCCAGACCTGGTTTATTCCTGATTCAGTCCTTGTTCAGTCAAATGAACGAATGAAACTCAGATTCTTCTCCTTTACAAAATGCTCCAAATTCTCTATTCTCCACGAGCCGCCGATTTTCTCCTAATATTATGACTTTATTTTGACTACGACTTTATTCTCATAATAATACGACTTGAATATCGAAATGTTACGACTTTATCCTCGTAGCACCAGCATCTTTTTATTTTATTTTTTTACCTGACCCTTATACTCCGTCGTAAAAATGTTTTTTTTTTTTTTTTTTTAAGATTTTAAATACTAAATAGCCTACTCAAGTAAAATTTTTAGGTATTTGTACTTTTACTTGAGTACATTTGAGACGTGTATCTGTACTTTTACTGCACTACGTTTACAACAGGACTGAAAAGTAAAAAAACAACAACTTTTCTTTATGATTTGAGATCATTTCATTTGAGTAAACGTCCTGACTGAACAAAACAAACATTAAAAAAAATCTGAAATCAATTGAATCACTTAAAATCAGTTGAACTCCACCATTCTTACTCTAAACCAGAGGTGAGTCAAACTCATTTTGTTCTGGGGGTCGAGTCCAACCGACTTTGATCCAAAGTGTCCGGATCAGAAAACTCAAGTCATATAAACCCCAAAAATAACAATAAGTTCAAATATTTGTGCAGAGAAACACAAATCTATTACAGAAATCTTTTTGAATTGATGAACTCTTTCTTTTACAAAATATTATAATATTATGAACAACCTGAAACTTTAAGAAAAATACAATTTCAACACAAAGTTTTAACATGAACTTGTATGTAAACAGGAGTAAATTTTTGTTGTAAAATCCTGCACTCGGCTCCACTTTTCTCATGTTGGACATTTTTCTGATGAGGGTGTCACGGTCAACAGTCAAAACGATCGTCCTTTAAGAGCGTTTGGAAAGAGACAAGTCTTCATTTGTGCTGCTCTGGTGGGAGGGGCCACGTACAGAGACGCTGGAGACGCTGCTGTGATAAACACCACAGAAAATTAACACCATTTTAATAGAAAATTATCATTCAAATATTTGAGTAGAAAATCAGCCGAGGGCCAGATTAAAAGTCTTGGAGGGCCGGATCTGGCCCCTGGGCCGCATGTTTGACACCTGTGCTCTAAACAAATATTTCCCTCCGTGTGTTTTCCAAAATCGTCCATCGAGCGTCAGAACTAAACCGAGTCTGTGGGCGGAGCTGGATCAGACTCAAACCTGCACATTTTATTTTATTACAGTTTTTACGTTTTACTCATAAATCTGTTTAAAATGGTGCATTAATGAGCGGCTCGCCTCTCCACGGATCTGATACAGCCTCAAAGATCTCTGCTCAGCGACAGAAAAATGTGTGTCTTGTGTAAACTGTGACTCTTCTTCTTCTTCTTCTTCTATTTTTCGTCACGTGTTCCGGCTCCTCGGTCGGTGGTTTATTTTTAGAAAAAGGTTTTAACACCAAAAAAAAAAAAAAAAAAGTGAAAATGTGAGAATCCTGAAAGTGTCATGAAGCACTTTAAGGTAAATCCACCTCTGTTACCACGGCAACCCACAACCCACATCTACATGAGAGAGAGGAGAGAGAGAGAGAGAGAGAAGAGTGGGGGAAAGGAAGAAAGGAGCAAGAGAAAGGGGGAGAGAGGAAAAGGAGAGAGAGGGAGAGAGAAAGAGAGAGAGGAAAAGGAGAAAGAGAGAGGGGTAGAGAGAGAGAGGGACAAAAAGAGGGAGAGAGAGAAGGGTGGGTGAAAGAGAGAGGGAGAGCAAGGGGAAAAGAAGAGAAAGAGGAAAAGGAGAGAGAGGGAGAGAGAGAAAGAGTGGGGGAGAGGAGGAAAAGAGAGAGAGGAAAAGGAGAAAGAGAGGGAAGGGGTAGAGAGGAAAAGTGACAAAAAGAGGGGGAGAGAGAAGGGAGGGTGAAAGAGGGAGAGAAAGAGAGAGGGAAAGGGAGAGAGAAGGAGAAAGGGGAAAGAGAGAGAGAGAGGGAGAAAAAAGAGGGAGGGGGTGAAAAAGAGAGGGAGAGCAAGAGGAAAAGAAGAGAAAGAGGAAAAGGAGAGAGAGGGAGAGAGCAGGGGAGAGGAGGAAAGGAGCAAGAGAGAGAGAGAGAGAGAGAGAGGAGAAAGAGAGGGAGGGGGAGAGAGGGACAAAAAGAGGGGGAGCGAGAAGGGAGGGTGAAAGAGAGAGAGAGAGGGATGGACAGAAAAGGGGAGGGGGTGGAAGAGAGAGGGAGAGCAAGGGGAAAAAGAAGAGAAAGAGGAAAAGGAGAGAGAGAGAGAGAAAGAGCGGGGGAGAGGAGGAAAGAAGCAAGAGAGAGAGGGGAGAGAGAGGTAAAGGAGAGAGAGAGGGGGAAATGGAGAGAGGGGAAAAGAAGAAAAAGAGGAAAAGGAGAGAGAGAGGGAGCGGGGAGAGGGGGGGTAGAGACGGAGAGGGACAAAAAGAGAGGGGAGAGAGAGAGGTGGGTGAAAGAGGGAGAGAGAAGGGGGAGGGAAAAAGAGAGAGGGAGAGCAAGGGAAAAAGAAGAGAAAGAGGAAAAGGAGAGAGAGACAAAGAGTGGGGGAGAGGAGGAAAGGAGAGAGAGAGAGAGAGACACACACAGAAATGGAGAGAGAGAGAGAGAGGGAGAGAGAGAAAAGATGAATTGTTGGTACCAGACGAGAAACAAACAAAAGAGATTTTCTGATACGATTCAACTCTGTCACTTTCTCTTCATTCAGACTCAACCCCCTCCTCCTCCTCCTCCTCCTCCCTCCATCTCTACCCCTCCCTCTCCCTCTTCTCTCCGTCTCTCCCTCCTCTTTCTCTCTCTCTCTCTCTCTCTCTGTTCGTCTTGGTTCTCTTCGTGTCGTTGGTCTCTCGTTCCCGGAGCGTCGGAGCTTTTGTGTTCGGGTTTAATAACCGACGAACGAACGGACGGATACGATCTGAACGAGGGAATAAAGAGAGAGAGAGAGAGAAAGACACGGATATGAAGAGAGAGGAGAGAATAAAAGGAGAGAGAGATGGAGAGGAGAGAGAGAAACACACAGATATGAAGAAGAAAATTGAGAAGAAAAGAGGGAGAGAGAGACACACACACAGAGATATGGAGAGAGAGAAGAGAGAAAAGAGCGAGAGAGAAGGAGGAAGAAAGGGAGAGAGAGAAAAGAGAGAGCGAGAGAGGAGGGAGAAGGAGAGAGAGAAAAGAGAGAGAGAGAAGGAGGGAGAAGGAGACAGAGAAGAGAGAGAGAAGGAGGGAGAAGGAGAGAAAGAAAAGAGAGAGAGAGAAGGAGAAAGAAAGGGAGAGAGAGAGAAGAGAGAGAAGGAGGGAGAAGGAGAGAGAGAGAAGGAGGAAGAAAGGGAGAGGGAGAAAAAAGAGAGAGAAGGAGGGAGAAGGAGAGAGAGAAAGACAGACAAAAAGAGGAGAGAGAGAAAAGATGGAGAGCGAAAGAGATAGGGAGAACTAGGGAGATGGAGAGAAAGACAGAAAAGAGGGAGAGATGGAGAGAAAGGAGGGAGAGAGGATTTTGGATTAAAAGTGTTTAATGTGTGAAGAAAACGAGAAAGTGTGAAGAAAGTAGAAAAAAAGAAGAAGAGGAGAGAGGATTTTAGAAAACGAGGGACAGAAGGAGGAGAGGAAGGAGGAGAGGAAGGAGAGAGGAAGGAGGAGAGGAAGGAGGAGAGGAAGGAGAGAGGAAGGAGGAGAGGAAGGAGGAGAGGAAGGAGAGAGGAAGGAGGAGAGGAAGGAGGAGAGGAAGGAGAAATAGGAGATAGGGAGGAAAGGAAGGAAGGAAGGAGAGAGGAGTTGAGAAAAGGAGAGGTCAGTTCACACAGAGGAAGGGAGGGAGGGTGACGACGTTTTGGGGAATGTTCAGGTCTGGTGGGAGAGGCGAGCCCCGGGTCACAATACACACAGTACACGCAGTACACACAGTACACGCAGTACGCGCAGTACACACAGTACACACAGTACGCGCAGTACGCGCAGTACGCGCAGTAAACGCAGTAAACGCAGTAAACGCAGTACACACAATGCACACAGTACACGCAGTACACGCAGTACACACAGTACACACAGTACACGCAGTACACGCAGTACACACAGTACTGTTTTACCAAGAAACACACAAAATACTTTTACTTTAGTTTATTTACTGGATGAAATGTTACACAGTGTTTCTTTAATACAACTACTACTCCTACTACATTAACTACTACATTTACTACTACATTAACTACTACATTTACTACTACATTTACTACTACATTTACTACTACATTTACTACTACATTTACTACTACTACTACTACCTTTACTACTACTACTTACTACATTTACTACTACTACTACTACATTTACTACTACTACTACTACTACATACTACTACTACTACTACTACTACTACTTACTACTACTACTACTACTACTACATTTACTACTTACTACTACTACTACTACATTTACTACTACTACTACTACTACTACTACTACTACTACTACTACTACTACTACTACTACTACTACTACACTACTACTACTACTACTACTACTACTACTACTACTACTACTACTACTACTACTACTACTACTACTACTACTACATCATCTACTTCTGTTTAAGGATCTTGTCACGTCTCGTTCTGTCTCCTGCTGTTTTTTTTTTTTCACAATTTCTTTTTTCCTTTTAACTTTTGACTCCCACAAACGCCCCTCGCCTCAGGCCACGATTTACCCCAGAACAGAGCTCCGTGTCTGGGTTCAAAACGCACGACAGCCCCCTCCTCTATCCTCCAACACCCACCCCAACATCCACCACGATTTACCCCAGAACAGAGCTCCGTGTCTGGGTTCAAAACGCACGACAGCCCCCTCCTCCATCCTCCAACACCCACAGCTCCAGCTCCAGTTTTGCTTTGTGCTGGAGCGAGATAAGGAGGAGGAGAAAGAGGGGGGAGACAGGGAGAGAGGGATGGAAAAGAAAGAGGGGAGAGGGGAGAGGAGAAAAGAGTGAAAGAGCGAGGACGGAGAGAGGAAGAGAAGATGGAGAGAGAGAGAGAGAAAGGGGTGAGAGTGGGTGAACCAGAGGAAAGGGAAGTAGAGGAGATAAAGACTCTCCGTTCACTTCTTCCATTCCTCCAAGAGAGAGAAGAGAGAGAGAAGGAGGAGAAAAATAGGGGGAAGGAGAGAAAGAAAGAAAGAGAGAAGAGGGAAAGGTGGAGAGGTGAGAGAGAAGTGAACACGGAAAGATGAAAGAGAAAGAAAGAAGGGAGGAAGACAGAAAGTGTGTGGGTGCAGAGAGGGGGAAGGGAAAAAGAAAGAGGGAAAGGGGAAGGAAAGATAAATCAGAGAGAAGAAAGAGAGAGATAAAGAAAGAGAGGAAGACAGAGAGAAGAACCCCCCCATATTTCAGTTTTTTTCAACAAACCAAAACCAAACGGTGCAGGTTTTACGTCTCGAACTCGTCTGCGTCTCATGATCCAAACACAACGACTGAAAATGTCTCCTGAAGCACTGAGGCCAAGTTTACAGGTCGATACGGTTTTAAGTTTTATTAAAAATCGGATGTGTGTGTGTGTGTGTGTGTGCGTGTGTAGTGTGTGTGTGTGTGTGTGTGTGTGTGTGCGTGTGTAGTGTGTGTGTGTGTGTGTGTGTGTGTGTGTGTGTGGTTACCTTGGTGATCTTGGGGTGGGCACAGCGGCTGTTCCCGGTGCTCGGGTGCATCCAGGTGGCCTCAGGTGGGACACACTCCTGCCTCAGGGAGCACTTCCTGTCCTGAACACACCAGCCGCAGTCGAAGCGAGGATCAGCCTTCAGACACAGACCACAGCTCTCCCTCAGCGCGAAGCACTTGTACAGGTGCGCTGCAGACAGGAGCAAACAGACAGGTGAGACAGGTGCGCTGCAGACAGGAGCAAACAGACAGGTGAGACAGGTGCGCTGCAGACAGGAGCAAACAGACAGGTGAGACAGGTGAGCTGCAGAGATGAAAAAGAGGTAAGGCTGCCAAAGAACAGGTTGACACTGGGTCAAAAGGACAGGTGAGGCAGGTGTGACAGGAGCGCCTGTACAGGTGAGGCAGGTGTGAGTTTAAACAGAGGTTGGAGCAGTGGCTCTAGTGTGAGCTGCTGCTGCTGCTGCTGCTGCTGCTGCTGCTGCTGCTGCTGCTGCTGCTGCTGCTGCTGCTGCTGCTGCTGCTGCTGGTGTCTGAGGTTTTATTCTGTGTAAAAGCTTCAAAGTTAAACATGAACAAACGTTGATGTGAAACACAGTTTAAAGTTCAGGTTTGACTCTCAGGTGTGAACCTTTAATGATGCAGGTGAATGAATCAAACGTCTCTGGACCTGCAGCTGTGAGCTTCACATACAGGTGTGTATATACAGGTGTACACATACAGGTGTGTTTATACAGGTGTACACATACAGGTGTACATATACAGGTGTACATATACAGGTGTACATATACAGGTGTGTATATACAGGTGTACACATACAGGTGTGTATATACAGGTGTGTATATACAGGTGTGTATATACAGGTGTACACATACAGGTGTACACATACAGGTGCACATATACAGGTGTGTATATACAGGCGTACACATACAGGTGTGTATATACAGGTGTACATATACAGGTGTACATGTACAGGTGTGTAAACGTGACGTACCTTTGATATTATGAGGATTATCGATGATGAAGTTTCCGTTCCAGACGACAGACAAATCCACAGGCAGATCACTGATGTCACTCCCCTCGTACACGTACTGAAACACACACACACACACACACACACACACACACAGACACACACACAGACACACACAGACACACACAGACACACACACACACACACACACACACACACACACACAGACACACACAGACACACACACACACACACACACACACAGACACACACAGACACACACACACACACACAGACACACACAGACACACACACACAAACACACACACACACACACACACACACACACAGACACACACACACACAGACACACACACAAACACACACACACACAGACAAACACACACACACACACACACACGGGTGTTAAAATAAACAAATCACACTGAACAACAACAGAGTTTCAGAAAACATTACTGTGCTCTAATACTGAAACTTTACACCAGAGTAATACTACTCTGTACTACAGTACTACAGTACTACTACTGTACTACAGTACCCTGTACTACAGTACTGTACCAGTACTCTGTACAGTACCCTGTACTACAGTACCCTGTACTACAGTACTGTACTACAATACCTGTACTACAATACTCTACACTACAGTACTACAAGTACTCTGTACTACAGTACTACAAGTACTCTGTACTACAGTACTACAGTACCCTGTACTACAGTACTACAGTACTCTGTACTACAGTACTACAGTACTCTGTACTACAGTACTACAGTACTCTGTACTACAGTACACTACAGTACTACAGTACTCTACACTACAGTACTACAGTACTCTACACTACAGTACTACAGTACTCTGTACTACAGTACTACAGTACTCTGTACTACAGTACTACAGTACTCTGTACTACTGTACTACAGTACTCTGTACTACTGTACTACAGTACTACAGTTCTCTGTACTACAGTACTCTGTACTACAGTACTATAGTACTACAGTACTATAGTACTCTGTACTACAGTACTACAGTACTACAGTACTACAGTACTACAGTACTCTACTACAGTACTACAGTACTACAGTACTACAGTACTCTGTACTACAGTACTACAGTACTCTGTACTACAGTACTACAGTACTCTGTGGTCGTCGACTGTCAGTGTTTGATTTTGAGGTGATGAAAAGTCAGCGTCAAATGTAAATACATCATATAATTTAAATATAAATACTTCATATAAATTTAAATTTTTAATTGAAAAAAATCTACAAAACACAAGATGCAGACGTGTTGTGATTTGCCAAAAAGTCATTTAAAAAAACAATCGTCTCTTTTAACGTCTTCAAACATTCATCACTTCATCTGATTCAACTCAAAATGACAAAAACAAATCAAATAAAACAATAAAAAACAAACAAAGACGATTAGAATAAAAACAATTCTTCATCATGAAAACGTCTGAACCTCGTCCTCCTCCTCTAACCCTCTCCTCCATCTCTCCATCCCTCCATCTCTCCATCTCTCCATCTCTCCTCTCCTCCATCTCTCCATCTCTCTCCTCCATCTCTCCATCGCCTCAGGACGAACCATCAGTGAGTTTTATGAAGAACTGATAACATCCACTAAAAGAGAGAGAGAGAGAGAGAGAGAGAGAGAGAGAGCGAGAGAGCGAGCGAGAGCGAGAGAGAGAGAGAGAGAGAGAGCGAGCGAGCGCTTGGGGCCTGAGGCGGGAGATAATCGACTTGTGTAATAGATTTTATGACTTGACCCTCGGCTCCAAATCCAGAGATAAACGACAAGATTAAGAAGAAACAAAAGAAAAGGAGGAGAGAGAGAGAGAAGAAGAGAGGGAGGAAGGAGGGGGGATAAAAGGAGGGTTAGAAGATGGGGGGGAGAGGAAAGATGAAGAGGAGAAGTGGAGGTAAAGGAGAGAGAGATGGAGAGAAAGTGGGAGAGGAAAAGAGGGAGGTGTGCGGAGGAGAGAAAACATTCAGAGAGAGAGAGAGAGAGAGGTGGAAAGAGAGAAAGAGACAGAAAGAGAGAGATGGATAGATAAATAAATAGATAGTGAGATAGAAAGAGAGAGAGAGGAGAGAGAAAGAGATAAAGAAAGACAAAGAGAGAAAGAGATGGCTGGATAGAGAGAGAAATAGAGAAAGAGAGAGAGAGATAAAGAGTGAGAGAGGGAGAAAGACAGAAAGAAAGAGTGAAATAGAGAGAAAGCAAGAGAGAGGAAGAAAGAGAGAAAGAAAAAAGAGACAGAGTGAAATAGAGAGGAAAAGTGAGAGAAAAAGAGAAAGCGAGAGAGAGAAAGAAAGAAAAAAGAAAGACAGAAACAGATAGAGAGATAGAGACAGACAGATGGAGAGAGAGAGAGAGAAAGAGGGAGAAAAACAAAGAAGAAGAGAAAGCGAGAGAGGGAGAGAAAGTAAAAAGAAAGAAAGAAACAGAGTGAGATAAGAGAGAATGAAAAAAGAGAAAGAGACAGACAGAAAGAGAGAGAGAGAGAAAGAGAGAGAGAAAAAAGAAAGAGACAGAGTGAAATAGAGAGAAAGTGAGAGAAAAAGAGAAAAAAGAAAGACAGATAGAGAGAGAAAGAGAAAGAAAGAAAGAGACAGAGTGAAATAGAGAGAGAAAGAGAAAAAAAGAGATGGATGGATGGATAAATAAAGAGATGGATGATGGATGGATGATGATAGATAGAAGACATAAGAGAAGAGAAAGATGGATGATGATAAAGAGATGGATGGGGATGAGATGGAGATGATATAGATAAAGAGATGGATGGATGGATGATAGATAAAGAGATGGATGGATGGATGATAGATAAAGAGATGGATGGATGATAGATAAATAAAGAAAAAGAGATGGATGATGGATGGATGGATGATAGATAAAGAGATGGATAGATGGATGGATGATAAAGATGGATGATGAGTTGAGATGACATGATGATCATCGTTCTCTCTGCTGCCCCCTACAGACTCGTCACACTCGTTCATCAAACAGACGGAGAGAGGGATGAAGTGTGTTGCTCAAGGACACAGCAGCAGCAGGAGGAGGAGGAGAGGAGGAGGGAGAAGGTTCAATTCCGTCCGCGTGAGCGTCGTCGGGAGCTCGGCGTGTGATTGGCCGAGCTCTGACCTGAGCCCGGCTCCTCCTGCTGCGTCGGCCAATCAGAGGTCAGGAGGGTCGAGGGCGTCGCAGACGGTGTTTGGGCGACCTCCGACTTCAGCTAACCGCTAACAGACGCTAATGGAAGCTAACAGATGCTAACAGGACGCTCAGACTGTGGGCGAAGTGTTTTGCTCAAGGACAC